ATATTATAATTATAAATTTATATTTATATTAATATTCATATATTTTTTAAATATATTTTAATAATATTTTTTTAATTATATATATAATTTATAATTTCTATTATTTTATGTCTATAATATTTTAAGTGTGCTTAAAAAAAAATATATATATTTTTCGAGTAATTTCTATTTGAATTTTTTTTTTTGTGTATAATTAGACATAACCTTTAATGCATAATAATATTTTTAGTATATTTAATTCGCAAAAGAAGTTAAATAAAAATAATTTATGGTACAATTATATTGAAATTTTATTTTTTTAATAATTCGAAGTAAAAAAAAGCCTATTTAATCGTTCGGGAATTCTTTAGTTTTTGGGATATTTTAATTATATTGAAAAAAGAGTTATTATCTTAATATAATTTTTTTTGTTAAAATATAATATTTTAAATATAAAAGATACTTATATACAATTTTTTTTATATATTTAATTTTTTAAATAACATTAAATTAAATATATTTATATTTAATCGTAAAAATTTCTGAAATTTTATATAAATTAAAATTTTACTTTTTATTTTAATAATAAATCTATAAAATCTAAAAAAATAATAATTTATTTAAGTAAAAAAATTAATCGAATTTGCAATATTATAAATATTATTACTAATTTAATTATTTTAACATACTCAGTATATTTATATGAAAAAAAAATTGATATAAAATTAACAAAAATTTAAATATTTGTTAGATATAATTTTTATTTTATTAAAATATAGTTATGTTTTATTGTCAAAATTAGTTTTTAAACCTTTTTAAAATAGTTTATGTACAAAAAATATGTATTTTTTAAATTATATATACTATTAAAATAGGCGAAAAAAAATTATTTTGAATAATATATTAATATAAAATATATATTTACATATATATTATTATATTTGATAAAATAAGATTTGTAAGTATTTATGAATAATTTATATATAAAAAAAAATTAAGAATAGAGTATATTTATTAATAATAAAAATAAAAGCAAAAAAGTAAATATTTATATATATAAATTTATATATATATATATATTTATATATTTATATATATATATATTTTTTTTTTATATATATAATATAAATATATCTTTTTATATATTTATATTTGTATATTTAAAAAGGTATTAAATTTATAAACCATTTTTAGTTTAATTATTTACAGTGTTTTAAATAGTTTAATTATTTTTATAGTCAAATTAAAGATAATAAAATATATTTAATTTTAATTTTGAAAATTAAAAATATTTTTCGAATTAAATTTTAAGCCTTTGAACTAAATAACATATAAAAATTATTTGTTTATAAAATATGCATTTTTTGTTTGTATACTTTATGTTAATAGATGATATAGAGAGTTATATTTATAATTTTAGAAAGCAAATATATAGTCTTTAAATATAGCTTACTTTATTTAACAGATATTAAATAGAGTTTATATAATTTTCTAATTTATATTTTTTTTTAATGATTATATAATTATATTAATATAAATATAAATTTATAAAAATCTATTTTTCTTTTATTTATAATAAATATCACAAATAAAAAGATTTTTATTTATTTTTTTGATATAATTATTATTATTTATTAAAATTATGATTTTCTTTATTATTTTAATATCCTTGATTATCTATTGACATTTAATTTTTTATCTCAGGTTTATTTTTAAAAAAGTTATTTTTATCGTCTAAGTTATTTTTTTATGAATAATTTCTTATAGGAGTATTATTATTAAAAATCTTACTTTTATTTAAATTATTTCTACTACTGTTTATATTATTTGAGCTTATATTCAATTAATTATTACTTAAATTTAAATTATTATTTTAAATTTAATTCAAAAATTAGGTATTATTATAAGCTTAATATTTTTCTTTTAAATCTTTAATTTAGTTTATTAAATGAATATTTTATAATTTTATTTATGAAAATTCACTATTTTATTCCTATAATTAATTTATGTCTTTGACAAAATTTTATATTTAGCTTTTTATTTCATCAAGTTCTTTATTTTATGGTTGTTTATTGCTAAAATAATTATTGGTTTTTTCCAAAAAAGAAACTTTATTTTATAAAATTTTATTTTACTTTTATATATCAGTTATAATAAGATTTTTTTAATCAAGTTAATTTAAAAGAATTTACTTTTCTTTTTCAAATTCTTCGTAAATATGAAAAAATTTTAAATTATATTTGTTTTCAATATCATCTTTTTCATTATTAAAATTAGATTCATCAATAAATGATATCTATTATTCTAATTATAATATCTTTTTCTATAAAGTATCATTCATTAAAACCAATTCTTTACAACTTTATCTATTTTTTGATTAATATTCAATATTAACAGGATATTGAATATTATTTTATTTAAATATTTCCTAAAAAGTTTAAATTATAATTTCATATTCTTCCTCCATTTATTAAATCATATTCTAAAAATTAAAATAAAAAAATATTTAAATAAATATATAATATATATTTATATATTTATATATTTATATATTTATATATTTATATATTGTATATATTTATATATTTATATATTTATATATTGTTTTATATTATTTTACTATTAGTTTTTATTTTTCTTAAATTATATTTTTGTTTTATTTATTTAAATAATTAATTGTTTATATTTTTGTGTTTTTATCTAAAACGCATTATAATAAATCTTAGTTAAAATTTTCTTAAAAAATTTTCGGATCAAAATTTATCATATCTATTATTTTATCTTCTATTAAATGATTTTTACATTATAAAATTTATTATACTAAATATATATAATCTCTTTAGTTTTTTGATTCTAATGTTAATAATATTTTGTCTTCTAGTTTTATTCCTGTATTTTCTATTATTTTAGTATTTTTTTATATATATATTTCGATTTATCTTTCTTTTATTGGACTTTTTTATTCTAAAAAGTTCAATTTTACATAATTAAAATGGTTTTTTATACGTAACATATGTTCATTTTTTTCTTGTTTTATTATTATTTATTATTAATCTATAATTATTTTAGCTTCTTCAAAATTTTTTCCGATTCTTACTGCTATTTAATTACTTATTCCACAATACATAGCTATTTCTAAAAAACTTCTTATCGAAGGATCTAATTAAACTGGTCCTATATTAATTTTTATACTATTATTTTTATTAATTTTTAATAATATTTTAATTATTTATTACTATTAATTAGGCTCGTTTTTTGGAATTATTTTTAAGTTTATTATTCTATTTATATTTTAAGGAATAAATTCATAAATATTCGAATAATTTTAAAATTCATCCATTTGATTTTCGCTTGTTTTATTATTCCATATAAAAATACAATCAACAAGTAAGTTATTTTTATAAACTTTGACTTAAACAGTAGATGTATGATAAATATAATTTGAAAAAAAAAGCTATGGAATATATTATTTGGAAGTTTAAGTTTCTATTTAATATAATTGATTTTATTATTTTGATGAATTAATAAATTCTTCAATTTTTTTTTATATATTTTTCATTGATTTATTTATTTATTTAAAAAAAAAAAAAAAAAATTATTAATTTAAATTAAATTTTTATTATAAATTTGTATATAAAAAAATATTTTTTAATAAACAAAAAAAAATGATTCCCCCGAGGTTTGAACTCGGGACCTTCAGTGTGTTAGACTAACGTGATAACCACTACACTAGGGAATCGATTACGATAATATAAGTATTATTTTTTACTTTAAATCTTATTTTTTTTATGCTTTTATTATTTTTATACATGTGTTATTTTAATTTCATTTTTTTTTTTATATAATATTTATTATTAAATATGATTTTTTTATTATAATTTTTTTAATATAAAAATAAATATATATTTCGTATCTGATATATAATTAAATAAATAATAGATATTAATTTAAATATATATATATATATATATATATATATATATATATATATATATATATATATATATAAATTTTTATTTATGTATAAGTATGAATATTTTTTTGATATAAAATAAACAATTTTTAAATTTATACTATAATTTCAAAAATATTTTTATAAATAATATATATGCATTCTCATTTAAATGAATTATTTAAATCTTTATTATTATTTTTTTTATCATCTTTATCTTCTGTTTAAATTAAAACTCTAATACAAGATTATTAAGATGATGAATTTTCAGTAACATAAAGAATATTATTTTTTTATTTCGAAAAAGTCAACCCTGAGATTTCTGGCGACCCAACCAACGTAATATTTTCAACAATTTATCCATTACTCGTATTAACAACACTAATTAAACCTTCATCAGAAAGTTAAGAAAATTCAAATCTTCCTACATATAATAAATCCGAAGAACTAACAGAACACGTAATAGGCCCAAACCTTCCTTAGAAATTAACAAAGACACTATAAATAAATATATATATATATATATATTTATTTTCTTTTTTTTTTTAAAAAAAAAAATACCTAAAATAAAATATTCCTTAAGGGGTTAAAACAAATCTTAAAACTCTATTTTTACATGTTTCACAAACAAATCTTTATTTTTTATTTAAACAAAAATAAAAATATTAATTTAATTTTTTTTACAATATTTTTTCATCCAAAGATAATGCTAAACCACTTGGGTAAGCCAGACAATTTAAAGCCAAAGGACGAATTACACTTTCTTCTAAATCTATAATAAAAACACTGCCTGTAGAATTTTCGATTGATGTTTCTCCAAAAGGACCGGAATCTGTAAAAATTAAACTATCTTTATTTATTTATTTTTATTTTTTCAAGAAAACCAAAAAAAAAAATTAGTATGTTTTTTTACTTAAACTCTCTGATAAAACTAATGAATGAGGTCCTAATAAAGGGGACCCTTCATATTCTTTTATTATTTCATGAATTTCTTCTCTCCCATTATCATCTATTATTCGCGATACTATAGATTAGTGGGCCATATCGGCTAAATAAAAAGCTTTTCCAGATGATTCTATAACTAATGATGATGGTTGGCCTGCAAAATGAAATTCATTTTTTAATTAGTTTTCTTTAAAACTTAAGATTTCACCGTTTTAGGCTACTAAATATAATGCGCCGTCTATTTCAAAGGGTGATGCTAAATTTGATGAATATTCGCATATTCTTTCTTATGGATGACTCATTTAATATTAATTTTTTTTTTAATTTATTGATTATTTTTATTTTATGTTCTAATTAATATTTTGTAACTTTTTTTTTTGTTACAAGAAAAAAAAAAAAAAAAAATTTAAAATAATTTTTTTTGTTAACAAATATAAATAATTTGTTTTTTATATATTTAAGAAAACAAAAAAAAATAGTATCTAAAGTTAATTTTAGATGAATTTTTAAAGTTTATATATGAGATATAATGATTATTGAAAATATTTTTATTATTTTAAACAAATTATATAATAAACTTAATTTTAATCAAACTTATTAATTATTAAAAAATAAAAGTATAGCCTACATTTATTTTATGAAAAAAATTAAATTATAAAACTTTAAAAAATAAAAATAAAATATAAGTTTACTTTATATTAAAAGAGTAGCAATTGATTTGTAATAAATATTACTTATATATAATAGATAAATAATTTTTTTTATATATAATAATAATAATAATTTTATTATCTGAATATATATATTCATTTTTTTTTTTCTAAAGTAAAAAAAAAAAAAAAAAAAAAAAAATTTTTCTTTAAAGATTATTTAGATAAACTAATAATCTTTTAAAAAAAAATGAAAAAATATATATATATATATATATATTTTTTTATTTTTTTTAATAATAATAAAAAAAAAAAAAATATTAAAAAAAAAAAAAATAATAAAGTATAAAAATCATATCATCTTTATTTATTTTACTAGAAAGTATAAAAATCTTTTGATTTTTTGATACAATCAGAAGCTTCCAACTCGTTTTTCATATTATATAAATTTTTAATTTCAAGGTAATCCTTTTATTTTTTTTATTTAAACAAAAAACAAAATATAAAAATTAAAGAAAATAAATAAATAAATTTACCTTATGTTAAAATTAAATAGAATTTATTTAATTAAATATATTATTAAGTTAATTTTAGAGTATTATTTCTTTTATTTTAAGAAGGTTAAATTCTTCAATTAATTAATAAAAAAGAGTATTTTAATAATTTTTATTTTAACAAATATCTGGAATTTTAAAATAAAAAGAAAGCAAACTTGAATTAAATTTCTTAAATGTAATTCTTAATAAGCTTTTCATAAAATAAAAAGATTTAAGAACAACAAAGTTATTAATAACAGGAAAACCAACATCAAAATTACTTTCCTTTTTTTTTTTTTTTTTTTTATAAATGAAATAACTTTTTATTTTGGTTTTACATTTTATTTATTAAAAATTTTTTATTATTATTATTATATATACTTTAGTTAATTAACAATTTATTAATTACTTGCTATTGAAATAATAAAATCTTAAAAAAATAAAATAATAAAAATATAAATAATTCTATAAAATTAAAACCTTCTGAAATAATTAAAATCTTCTAACTACTCTTATAATTCATTTAGTTATTTTAAAAAAGCCTAACTTCATTATTTTTATCTTTTAAGCTTTCCGATTCATAAAACTAAAACTATTTAAATTTCAATACTTTAATAAAAACATTCCATTACTCTGGATTAACTTTTTGACTTTTAAAAATTCCTCTCTGAATATAATGTTTATAATTTAATTATTTTTTTACTTAATCAAAATAATTATATTTAGTCTATTTTTAGTTATTTCTTTAAACTTATAAATTAGTTTATAATTGTTATTAATTATTAACTTCATTACAATTGATTTAATTTATAGATACATTTATAAGACTTTCATTATATGTTTTTGTAATTTATCCCTAATTATTATTATAGTTATAATTTTCAAGTAAAGAATTATGATCATTTTTTTTTTTTCAAAGCTATCATTTAGAATGGGATCTTCATTAAAAACTGTTAAACTATTTTCGTTTTTATAGTCTTTATTATAAACATTATTTTATAAATTATTTTTATTTTAAATTTATTTATTTTTATTCATTAGTTTCGGAATTACTTATGGACTTAAAGAAACTTAAACTTGCTTATTTCTTGTATTTTTATGTAATTGTAATTTTAATTATTAACTATCATCCTCGTTTTCTTAAAAAGTCTCCGCTTATAATTATAAAGGAAGAGAATTAGGAGTTTAAAATTCCTAGGTTTTCCTCATAAAATTTAAATCACTTGTATTTTTTTGTAAATTAAATGAACTTCCAGTCGAACCTAAAAAATTTTACTAAGCAATTATTTTTTCGTCCACTTTATTATCACTCGAATTTTCTATTTATTCGTTAACTTTATATCTAAAAACACTAGAAAAAAAATCAAATATAGATGAACTTCCACTCTTTTTAGAATTACTATTATTATTATTATTATTATTATTATTATTATTATTATTATTATTAATATTAATATTAATAATATTGTTAGATTTAATATTATTATTAGAATTATTATTATTTATATTGATATTTATTGTATCATTATTAATATTTTAATCATAATTGCCTTAACAGTGTAAACATAAATCTTCTACATGATTTTCTAATTAAATGCCTTTTTATATTATTATATCATGACAGGCTTTATATCCTCCCTATAAAATACTTATAAAAGGAAACCCATATTCAATAAAATCGTATGAGAATTTTTAAATAGTGTACATTTCTTAATCTATATTTTCTTAGTTTAAATTATTGTTTGAAAATTATTAATTGCTATTTTCTTATATAAAAAAAGTAATATGCTACACATTTTTATATTCTATGTAATCACTTATTAACGAATCTAATGTTTCTTAATCAAATTAGCTCATTTCAACAGAAGTAGTTTTATTTAAGAAACCTTAGTTCATATTTTCTTTTCTCAAATCGAATATTATATAGTCCTAGAAAGTTTTTTTTTTCCAAAAAAAATACTTTATTTCCTGCATAAATTCAGAGTTATATTCTTCTAATATTTTTTAAGTTCGTTCTATAGTTTAAAATTCATTTTCACAGTATATACATGCCTTTTCGGTTCTTTTATTAATCCTTTCACAATCTGGGTTTGGGCATGTTATTATTTAAGGATATATGTAATGGAGTAATTCTATAGGATGTAAAGGCAAAGCTGTATAATTTTAGATTTATTTTGAAGCGTCTTTCATGCATTAGAAAGTATCTGTATTTTTAGTATAGTTTTTTGAAAATATTTTTAAATAATTTATTTTAGAGGAAAATGAAATAGGAGTATTTTGTTTAATTTATTATGTTCTTTATATAATAAAAATAAATACAATTATATATATAAATATATATAAATATATATATATATTATTATATATATATGTAAATATATCTATATATATATATTTTTTTTTTTTTACACTTTATATATTTCTTTTAGTTCTTTGATATTTTAAATTTTCAAATTTGATAATGCTTAGGGTAATTATGAGGCATCTATTGATAATAAAGTTTTTTTATGATAAATCATTAAAGCTAAACAAAAATATAAAATTAATAATTTATCATTTTCTAAAATATATATATCCCAAAAATTATAAATTATTTCAAACTCGATTTTGCTTTATTTTTATGTTAAAATAAAATATTTTTATTTAAAAAAAATAAACTTTTTTATTTACCTTGCAAATAAAGTAATAAACCATGGATATGCATATATTTCAGGTACTATATCATTTTTAGATAGTATATTATGTAAATTAGGGTCATGATATTTCAATAATAAAGTAAATGCTGAAAAAAAGCATTATAAACTATTAAAATCCTATTTTTTTTTATTTATTTATAATTTCTGTTAAAAAATTGTATTATGTATCTTATATACATAATTTTATAAATAAAAAAATAACTTAATCTTGATAAAAATTAGGAATGAATTTTTCGATAAAGCTTGTAAAATAGTTATATGCTTAATAAATTTAAATATTTTATTATATTGTTAAATATAGAAATGGTGCTGCTATTTCATTTAGTCCTTATTTATATACGATATCTTCGTTTTTGCAATAAAACGTTAAGAATAATTCCAATTTTTTCTATAAATTTTAATTTAATAAAGTGCATCTTGTTCTTATTGTGTCTTGAAAAATTACACTTTTTATATTTATTAAGAATGAATACAATGTTAAATATATATATATATATATATATATATATATATATATATATATATATATATATATATAATATAACATTTAATTTTGTAAATCTAGTTAGGTATTCAATATTTAAGTATCATTATTGGCATAATTTATTTTTTCATCTTAAATTAATAAAGCTTTCTTATTTTTATATTTTTTTTGTTTTTTATTTGTATTTTATAAAAAAAAATTAATTAAACAAAAAAATAAATAAAATGAGTAAAAATAAAATATAAATATAAATAATTATAAAATAACTATTTTTGTTTTGCTAGTTAATATACATTCCAATAAGATATTCTATTTATATTTTATGTTTTATTTTTATTCTCAGAATTAAAACTTTAAAATATATTATTAGATTCATGTTTGAGTATTTCTTAATAAGAATTTCTATTTAAGTCTTAATTATCTGTTTCTTTATAATAAAATAATAGAAGTAATAAATAAATAAATACATAAAATTTATGTTATATATAATTGTTTTTATTTTATTTTTTACTTTTTTTTATTTAAGATAAGAATGAACTATTTCCTATTTAATTTTATAAATTTTAATTATTAACTTAACTAAGTCTGACATTTTTATAAGTTTTTCCTGAATTTTATGTTTAATATATATTTTTTGGCGTATTAATTTAATTTCCTTATTTAATTTTAGAACTGTATTAAACATTCATTTTATTTTATTTTTATACAATTTTTTTTTATATTTCAATAATTAATTTTTCTTATTATTTTTTACTTTATTATGAATTCAAAGTTAAATTTTAGTTTTTATGATTATAAAAAAAAATATAAATAATCATATTATTTTCTATTATTTTTTTATCATTATAATATATTTTCATTTTATATAGTTTTTGGTTAAAATATTTTATAAACTTTATAAAATAAGAAAGAAATTTATACTTTTTAATAGAAATATATAAACATTTATAACTATTTAATTAGATAATATATAATTCTAAAATATATAAATGTATTAATTAATTAAAACTATTATATATATATAAAAAAAGTTAATTAAATATTAATTAAATTAATATAAAATATTAATATTTATAAAATTTAAGAATTTATATAAATATTTAAACCTTTTATATTATTTTATCAAATAATTATTTTATTTTTAATAGTTATTTTATATATATATTAATATTAATTGCTTTTATATTTTTTTATAAAAATGGATGTTTAAATAAATAATTTATTTTAAAATAAAAAATTATTTATTGTAATTTATTTGTATAATCATATTATTATCAGTATATATTTTAATTATAAAATTAAATAAATATTAATAATATTTATTTTTTAAAATAATATATATATATCTATTTTAAAAGTTAACTTCAATAGGCAACCCTTTACTATTTTTACTAATTTAGAGCTATTCATTATCCCAAGAATCAAAAAGAATTACTATTAAGTTTAAATAAAAAACTCTACTTATAAAGTAATTAAGCATATTATTTTTAACCAAAGTTCTTTTTTATAAAAAACATTAAAACCACACCAAAGCAGCTTACTATATCTCAATTTTTACTTCTAATAATTGAAATAATTCAAATCTTTCAAGTCTCATTGTAATCAAATTATTTTTAAATTAGAGACTAATTGTTAAAATTTTCTATATAGGATTTCTTTTATACTTTAAATTTTCTTATTTTCTATATAATAAATAGACTTAGTCTATTATTTTAAACTCATACTTTTTGAAAAAAATAAAATAAAAAAAAGTTGTTTTTTAAATTTTAGATATTCTTTTCGTTATATATTCAAAATATATAGTTTAAAAAAAATTGAATGCATTTTTAATTATATTGTTCATTTTAATTAATAAGCTTTCGCTTTTTGGATTTAGAGCTAGGTTAGATTTTTAATCGTTTTTAAGTTTAGAAATAAATATATGTTTTTTAGCTTTTCACATAGTCAATATTATTTAATATATATATTTTGTAAATAAATTTTTAATTTAATTATAGGTAATTTATTTGATGTATCGGAATATAATATTTTAATTATTTATATTTAATAAATTTACTTAATAAAATAATAAAAAAAAATAGGTTCTATATTTTTGTTTAATATAAAATAGAAAATAAAAAATATATATATTATTTATTAAATATAAGAAAATATAAAATTTGTATAATTTATAATGTTTATATAATATTAATTCTAAAAAATTGAAAAAAAAAATATTTCTAAAATTAAGAAATCTTATATTTGCTTTTTATAATTAATAAATTTAGTTAAAAAATTATTTTTGTATAATTTTTATAATATATGAACATCATTTAAAATAAATATAAAATTATTATTATATAAATATATTAAATATAAAAATTATAAATAATATTGCGAAACAAATATATAGATATTTATATTAATAATAAATATAGAGATAAGAAAATATAAATAGACGAGATATTTAATATAATAAAACATTCAAAATTTTATTAAAGGTAATAATATGAATATAATAAAAATAAAAAATAAGTAAATTAATAATTTATATTTAATTTATTATATTTTAATTTTAATTATAAAATTTATTATATATTTTATAAAAAAAAATTATATAATAAAAAAATCGTTTTTGTTATAATTAAAATATTATTTATGGTTAAATTAGAAAAAAAAAAAGATATAAAGATATATATAAATATATATAAATATATATAAATATATATAA